ATGATTTTAGCTTTTTTTTTTTGAAAAAATCCAGCTTTTTCGACCCTTCCCAGTCCCACCTCTAATGCCCTGTTTCCTTGCAAAAATTGTTCTTCTCAGAATTCAGGCTTCTCCAATGAAGAACAGGAGCTTTTCGCTCGTCCTCAGCTATTACGCTGATTCGTTGAACATGTTCGCACTCAGGAGCCTAATCGGGATGTATGCGAGCGACCCAAGCAACCCGGTCATAGTGGTGTGGGTAATCGGGCATGCCTACATCATTCTCTCTGTCCCATTGACCATCTAGAGTATGCTACACTGATACATTTCATAAAATCTTTTCGTAGGAGAGGACAGAGATAGCTGTGGGGAGAAGGGTGATGCAGTGAAGGATGTTGTGCTCAATGCAAAAATCTTTGAATCCTCGACTAGGCTTTACTCATTGGAAAGGAATGGCGCACATTCCCGAAACCAAAATCTTACGGAAAAACCTGAATAAAGTGATCAGGATCGAACGGGACACCCAAAAGGATCTCGAAGGGTTGAGGACAAAAGCTTAATAGGCCAACACAAACTCGGGAATTTAGACGTGCTGTCTGTTGTGGCTCTGCGTACACTACGTTTTAATTAACGGATAAAATTGCGTCAAAGCTCAGCTTCCTGTTGTTGTTCCTGTGCTTTCTGGTGTCGTTTCTGCTGAGTTCTTGGATTATTTCCTGGATTCATACAATCAGTAAGATGTGTCTTTTCACAAGTTCATGACATTTTAATAAGACTACGAAATAAACTTCATTCTAGATTTTCCCTTCTCTCACCTGTGCAATTATAGCGTTATTTCACTTTTAATTATGTGATAGGAAAGTTATATTTATATTTGGAATTGTACAGGAAACTCAGGGACATGAACCGCGCTTTGCAACTGTTCCGTCCACAACTGAGTTCCGTTCGGCTAAGCTCGAGCCTCACCAAAGCACCAGCTCCGAGCGAAATCACAAAAGAGAATGCAAAGTTTGATGAGGTCACACATACAGGACAGGTAAGGACAAAGAAATTATTTGAGTTTCCTGTTGTAGCCTACACCTCCCAATCCCAAATATTACCTATGCAGATGACGTAAGTTGCCTTACGCTATGTTTTCAGGCTTGGGATCAAGCCGACTATCGCCTACAACGATTTGACATCTCGAAAAAACAGGTTAATCAATTTTCTAGTTTTTTTTCGTTTATTTGGTTCATTTTCTTTGGAGCCGGGTATTTGTCGAATCTCATTATTAGCCCCTTTTACTTTCTTGGCGTGTAATGCGAGCATTTGTCTGCTTTTTCCGTAAAGCTATTCTAAGGAATGTCAGTCTCTTAAAGAAGCCTTTTTTACTTTTCTGGTACTACCTTAGTTTCAATTTCGAACATGTATGATTAAGGTCAACCCGAATATTGCTATGCATTTAATCGCTGAACGTCCCCCAAAGGATTGTGGTAATGAACGTATCGTAACGTGTGATGGAGGACATCCTGCTCTTGGTCATCCACGTGTTTTCATCAATCTTGTGAGTTCTTCAGGATTCTTTTTTCTCTTAATAATCCCATTGATTTCTTCCATTCATAGCGACGAGATGGCAAGAATGCTATGTGTGCTTATGCATTGTGAAAAAGATGTTTTCCATTCTTTCCCTCTACATTCTATGAAGTTAAACGATTTTAATTTTCCATTTTTTTGTTAAATTCAAGACAATTTACAACATTTGGTTGGCAAGTGGGTAACTGCATGAGTTTCTGAGTACTTCAGACATTTACCTTGAGAGATTATTCCCTGTTTTTCGAAGTGATTTATATTTATTAGATCAGGTACCTGAATGATACACGAACAACATTTACCAGATCAATTTTTTTCTTGATAAAAGGCATTAATATATTTCTAAGTATCGATTGACAGTGAACCTCCTATTCAGGACAAACCTGGAGTTCACGCATGTGGCTACTGTGGGAACCGTTTCTACAACTCACATGTTACGAAAGGGGACGATATGAACATCCACCATTTGAACTGCTAATGGTGTAATGTATGTAGGTGTCAGAATATACTTGGTCATAAATAGATAACCTGATTAGAACCGTATAGTTGAACTTCTACTGATCAGAGAAATTACTATGGTAGCATGGCAATCGATACGTCCGCGTACTTTCTGCTCTGATCTGACCTAATAGCACCTTTACTTCTAGAAATAGATTTTTAGAAGTAATTTAGTCACCAATAAAATGTTATGGTCTGAGTCCAGAACCACAACAATATGTGTGGTTTTCGCTGAGACAGTTTTTTTTTTCAGCAAATAATTACGATGGAGGTCATTGGGAATAACTTCCTGTCTGGTCAACACAGCTAGTACCTGTACACGCTGGGACTGCGTACTTGATTTTCATAGAATACAGCTATCAGTGCAAAAGACGGCAACACATTTAATCCGCGAGCAGAGCCCTGAACACAACGTTTGCTAATAACTAGCCAAAACAATGTAAGTCAATAAAACATAACATCCGAAAGTGAAAAAAAGACAAGCATGATTATCAACTTGAGGTCGAACAAAGACAAAATTGTACCGAAAGTTAATTTACGTCAAATACAAATTCTATGTGGCATAAAATATAGAGGTATTGTATTAATACAAACAACTCACAACTGCATTATCATCACCAGCTGTGTGTGACATAGCTCTGAACTAATTTTACTGCTAAAGTCAATAAGTTGGCGGGAAATCCCAACTTTCTATTCTCACGAAGTAAACACACGAAATTAAATACTACTAATGAAACTACCAAATTATGTAACTGCTACATTTGAAATGAAGGGTTTGGGTACAGAAACAAATCACCCACAGCTGGTCGAACCCATTTAGGCGATGTTTACAAAGCGAGCATCAAGGAGTAAGAACAAGAACTCCCGTACAGTAACAAATACGTAACGAATAAGGAAAACCTGAGA